TCGGGTCTGACTCGACGGCACATAACAACAACAATATATATATGTAAAGGTGTTACAGGCCACACCCCAGGGAAACTCCCCTTACAGATCAGGGCTGTGATGGAATTAATAGTGTTGCATCCCACCCTAATTCTTTTACAATTGACTGGTTCATCACATCTTGGGGGATCATCACATAACTGCCAGACCACTGACAGACAATTTGACACATATTTTATTGTTGTTGCCCGAGACAGTATCACTACGGAAGTAGATTGCCCAACCTTCCCTCCGAGGAATGGCTGGTGGATTTGAACTGCAAGTCTTCTGGTTACGGTCAAATGCCTTAGGCACTACACCACCAGAGCTCCTGTTGTTGTTGTTAGGTGTCATCAAGTAGATTCTGACTCATAGTGACCCCATGTACAAGACAACGAAACATTGCCCAGTCCTGCACCATCCTCACAATCCCTGCTATGCTTGAGCCCATAGTTGTAACCACTACCTCATTCCATCTAGTTGAGGGTCTTCCCCTTTTTCTCTGCTCCATTTTGACCACATGACCAAAATAGGTGAAACAAAGTCTGACCATTCTTATTTCCAAGGAACATTTTGGCTGTACTTCCTCCATGACATATTTGTTTATTCTTCTGGTACCCCATGTTATTTTCAGTATTCTTTGCCAACACCACAATTCAAAGACATTAATTCTTCTTTGGTTTTCCTTATTCATTGTCCAGCTTTTACATGCATATGAGGCAATTGAAAATACCATGGTTTGGATTAGGTGCACCTTACTCTTCAAATGACATCTTTGCTCTTCAACACTTTAAAGAGAGGTCTTTTGCAGCAGATTTGCTCAGTGCAACATGATGTCTGATTTCTTGACTATGCTTTCGTGGGTATTGATTGTGGATCCAAGTGAAATGAAATCCCTGAAAACTTCAATCTTTTACCCATTTATCATGATGTTGCTTATTGGTCCAGTTGTGAAGATTTTCATTTTCTTTATGTTGAGGTATAAACCACACAGAAGACTGTAGTCTTTGTGTGTGTGTGTGTGTGTGTGTGACTTTTATTGTGGTGAAATATATATATAACAAAACACTTGCCATTTCAACCATTCTTGCATGTACAATTCAGTGACATTAATTATGTTTACCATGCTATTTGAACAATTTCTTTTAGACCAGCACAAGGCTGGTCCCTATGATACAGAGGTTGAAGATGTCCCAAATATCCAACTTTTCCAAACTGCCATGCCACTCCATCATCTCTGATGTCAACTCCTTCTCCCCTACTAATCTC